ATCCCTCACTTTAGGTGCCCCTCTATATGAGTTATACTAACTCCTTGCTTGTTATTGGAAAGCCTGTTCTTTGTAAACCTTTTCAGTATACTCAAGTTTCTCTTGACAGTCCAAGTAACCTACATTATTTCCTCCCCCTCTCCCAAATTGTCTTCAAACTTCTATATCTAGTTGGATTGCGATTAAGGAGCTTGCCTGTGTTTTTATGACTCCCTGATTTCCCGAGCACTTATCGTATTTCCTGAGCACCAAGCAGATATTAGTCAGAAATTATGTTAACTCACCTCGCTGCCTCCCCTCCCCCTTCTCCCGCGCAGATTTATGGCTGCAGTGCGTTGAACGATGCAGGGAAGCACTGGAACTGGTTCTTCGCCGATTGCCTCTTCATTACAAGTGCATGTATAGGCTGGCGCATCTTCACTTCACACTGGAATCCGTAAGACTTTTGCCGAATTTTTCTTTTCCACTTGCTTTTGGAGCAATCCTTGAAGTCGGTAAGCTTGTCAGTACGATTGGAGCCAAAGCAACGCACGAAATAGCCGTGAAAACTTAACCCATGACCTCTTCCTTTGACTCTAACGCTTTGTGGATTTAGTGAAAAAAGTGTTTTGCCATGTAAACTGCCTTACCCTTATTTAAGAACTTCAGTTTTTCTAGGCAAAGTTATTTCATAATCTAAACGTCTCCAATCGTTTATCTTGCTCTGAAGCTCGTCTACTGATGGTAGCTGGATTAGCTCATATTCCCCATCGCGTTTGAGTGACCCCTGTCTTTCCGCTATACTTCTGTTTATATTTGGAAGAGTCAATTCGTGGCCGCATCATCATCTTTAACATATTTCACTGCTCTATATTAGAGCTTTTCTAGTCGCCCACCATTAACTTATGGCCTCCAGACGTGCCTGAGCATATATCTCTTGACAAAGGGTCCTTTTCACATTTGTTTGCAGGATTTGGACAAGTCGATGGCAATCCTGATGGGTCCATTCGACCATGTCACTAAGGTCGAACTCGGTGGTCTGTTCAAGGACCGTCGGCAAAGCAATTTCTTCCATGTACGTATATTTGTCCCTTCTTCCGCGTACACTTCTCGTAGTTCGGTTTGAATTGGCGGTTATTGCAAATTCCGTCTTTTGCAGGGTGTTTGGCGTATTCCAACCTCGGACATTGATAGGAGCGGCAACTTTGCTGCCCACATGTACCGGTCCACATCACTTGTGCTGGAAGTACTCAAGAAACGTGGAGATTGGCGTCGACTGCTTCAGGTGTTTCATCAGTTGCGGAAGCAGCCGCCAGAAGACAAGTACGCTGACCTACCTAGTTGTGTCTTTATTTTGATCACGGTGCAGTTGTCGGTAACAATAGGATAAGTTATGTATTTTTTGAAAAATATACTGAAATAACTACTAAATGCATTTCAGTAGACTTAATTATGCCTATTCATTTTAGTTGGCGTAGTAGTAGTTGTAGACGGGTTGCTTCTATTTCAACCCGTCTTGGCAAGCTTGCGACAACATCCCCGCCTATCATTTCATTAAAAAGAAGTAGTAGTTGCAAAACCCATAACTACACATCCCTTAGTTCAGGAAGTTAGAAGTGATAGACGGGTTAGTTCAACTACTTAACCTACTTTTGCCCAGCTGTCTTTTGCACCCCCTCACTATGCGCCCCTTCGAACGCATATCCTTGCATTTCCTCTACAGGCGCGGTTTTCTTAGCGAGGCTGATCGTGTCTTCCTGGCTCGAAGTGCGTTTAATCT